AATATGCCAGAATTAGGCCAGAGAATATTCCCTCAAGATCATAAGTGCACATTTGAACTTTTAGAACTGAGGCTGTCAGTGCACTGGGAAGGGATCTGTAGGGAACAATCTGTCAAAAAAATTCTCTGGCTGATTTAATTTCAGAATCACAGAAAGAAAGAGGAAACACCTGAAGGGCAGTGTTTTAACAAATGACAAGCCTGAAACACTTTCTGCTTATTGTAAATGTCTGTTTTCTCCTTCAACATGCAGAAAGCTGCACACGCTATATAAGCAAAAATGTCCTAGATTAAATAATCTTGTAGCCAGTAGCAGAAATTCAGCGCTCATGTTACGGCAGATAACATGATTCCATTCCTGTGGGCCAACACCAAGTTGTCATCTGCAGTTGCCATGGCTTCCTGATGAATTAACAGCTCTAGAATACAGAAGGCTAAAATGAGACACTAGCAAATAAAAACAAGTATATTATCCTCACAGTAGAATCATAGAGTATCCCAAGGTGGAAGGGACTCACAAAGGTCATCGAGTCCAACTCCTGGCTCCACACAGGACCACCCAAAATGAGACCCTCTGTCTGAGAAAGTTGTCCAGATGCTTCTGGAACTCTGGCAGCTTGGTACCACAACCACTGCCCTGGGGAGCCAGTTCCTGTGCCTGACCACCCTCAGGTGAAAACCTTTCCTGATATGCATGCTTCATGTGTCAGGCAGTCACGTGGCTCAACAAGAGCTCCAAATACCAGTTTTCCTTCCCTGTAGCAATTGATCATGAAATTTCTCCAAGGAGGATCTCAGTGTACTTGCTTGTACTGTCCAGATGTGGCCTCTTCAGAAGATAGACATAACTGTTGTTAAGTGTTGCTAAAGAATGGACTGGGGCCAAACATCCAGATATAGTCTCAAGGACTTAGTATAGTTCTATGTCCATGCAGTATGGAAATCAGTCATGTGTGAACTTGAGTGAAATTTTTTAAAACTTTCTTTAGCTGTTTGACAATTAAAGGAGAATAATATGTGAGCTGCATTCTAAAAAGCTCTATTTTCTTGTTTAAGCCAATAAAAGAACCCAGACAAGAAGAATATAGCTCCCTTAATTAATTAGAGGACCATACTCAATCATGAGAATGATGAGTAATTCTGTCTAAGTGTCCTAAATAGGCATCAAATAAGTTGCTGCTTTTTCTTGTGTTTTCTGGTTGTAGCTGCACTCTGTATTCTGATCACCAGACAGCTTTACCACAGTATAATTTCCCAAGCCTCTACAGAGATATAATTGTTGTGGTTTACCATAGGCCATGACACATCGGAATCAAAGCCTTGAATGAAAAGCACTGCTGCAATTTTGGTGAATGGGTCCTGTGTGGAGCCAGGAGTTGGACTTAGTGATCCTTGTGGGTTTCTTCCCACTTGGGATATTTGGGATATTTTATGAACATAAAAATTAGTAGTGATGGGGGGAGACCATTTCTATAGGTGAGGAAAAAAAACAAAGATATGAAGGGATTAATAATACTTGACCAAAAGAACAATGAAAATAAACTGACAGAATTGGTTATGAATAAGGAAGGAAATGAGAAGATTCTCAACCGTCAGCACTTCCAGTAGAATGCTTAGGAAGGCTGCTGTGATAGGAAAAAAGAAATTAATATAGAAAATCTTGATAATCTTTCTGAAGGAGAAATCATGACATAAATTGTGTAGAAAGTAGGAAATTGGACAGTGTGGCACAGGGCAGCACTTCCTCACTTTTTAACTTCTGTGCTTCAGACATTTTCTGCATGATCTTGGAAACAGAGATCAGACCAGAAACAGAGATCAGAGTTGCACTCATGGACTGCACAAGGCCATTTACCCCTGCACCAAGTCTGGATCTGTTGGCATGCCTCCTGCATCACCTGTACTAGTTTTATAAATAAAAGTTTGTTAGAAATCACTATGGGGCTGCTTAACCTACTTGACACAATGAGCAGTAAGCACTTTCTGAATTGCCTCAAGTAATACTCAGAGCTTCAGATCTATTTTCATCACTTTTCTACATTTAAATGAACACTGTTTCATTCAGTAAGTGAAGGAGTTTCCAATTAGGTTATTAATAAAACCTTGCAAAGCTATGCCCCAAAGCCTTTGTAAATCCTTTTCTGTAGAAGGACTTCTATAGAACTACTGAAGGCAACAATCACATATAATCCAGATAAATGCATCAAGCTCCAATTTAAAAGTTAAATTTTCTGCTCAAGCTACTTCAGCCAGAAGTCTGTTCCAAACATCACTCTGTCAAATTTCAGCAAGTAGTTTCTCACAGAGAACACTTCTTGTTAGCAGTGTTATCTCTGAGATTCCACAAGCCTCTCTAGCCTCTTCCTTCTAAATTAACAAGGTGCAGTCAGTTCCTCTTCCTTCCCTCTATTTCCTCAGACAAGCACGCAGTGTTCTTATCACCTCCTCTTGTAAGAGAGGAAGTTGGCCATTTTTGCAGCCCTTCTCACATCAACTCCTGTTCCAAACAGCCTCTTCCAACAAGACGTCCAGATCAGCCTTTGTCCCTCCTTTCTTTAGAAGCATCACAGCTTAGATACTATGATTAATAACATCAATACCATAACCATAAAAACTACAAAAGTTTACGTGAAGTTTTAAAACAAGATTAAAATTAGGTCATTGCTAGACAGACTTAACCAAGGTGTTTTTCTGGATACTAATGTCAGCAGTTATAGTTAAAGTTATCACTGATGACAAGCTCCAACAGATTGGAGCTTCCTTCTCTAGTTGTTTTAAAAAAATGTATAAATTTCAGACACATAGAATTATACCACAGAATGTCACATTACAGCCTTGGCCTATGTTGTAATGAAAATCATTTCAGAATTCTGAGGAAAGGAAGAGTTTGCTGTAAAGTGACAACTGAAATCATTAAGAAGACACTGTGAACATGTAGCTCTCTCTGAAATATGTGGCTGTGGGTCTAAAATACTGTCTTCACTTCAAATATATAAGAGATTTCTCCAACAAGAGAAAGAGGAGAAAAAAATTTAGTGATCTGGAAATAATTCCATAAGCTTTCACACCATTACTGAAGAGAAGCCATAATATTAATCAGCAAAAAGCTCATATCTAGAAAGCAGCCAGTAAGCATCTTGAATGTACATTTAAATGTAATTAAATACAGTGACAGAAGTTTGAGAGAAATTGCCATGGAGAGGAGGAAGAAAGTATTGCAAGAGCTAAAGAATCCTGAACAGGATGCCATATTTGATTCCTTCCACCTTCAACAGAAGTGCCTGGCAAATTCTTGTTCCTCTCTTACTGATATCAAGGGGAACATCACACAAAGCTATGAAACAAAATCCTGGCTCGACTGAAACCAACAGAAAATTAGATAGAGCCTTCAAAGTGGGATAATACTGCACTAGGAAATCATTTCAAATGGTTCTTTCCCTCCAGTGCTAAATTTTATTAATGCATTAAAAGGAAAATACACCCACAAATCCAACTAGATAAATCAAGCTAATTGCCATAATTTCACTGGAACAATGCTAATTCAAACAGGCCAAAACTTTACTAATCCTGAAAAGGAATGATTTTACAGATAAAGTATATTTCCTCTTATATAAACTGTTAACTTCAATGATGTAATACTAACTACTAGTATACTGAACCAGTTTGCAGAAGCAGAATTGCAATCTTCTTAATTTGGAAGGGATAAAGAGAGAGAGAGAAGAGGATAACAGAAACAAAAAAAGCAAGAGTGATATGAAAACAAGGAATAGGTAAATTCTATTCAAAGTATCCCAACGATCTAGCAAGGAAATATGTATCTTCACACAATACTTTAACTTCACAAGTGCACTCCTGGTTTGTTTGATTAGTTTTTAAATAAAATTTACCACTTAAGAGTTGACAGTAAGCAGCTGAAACAGCATCTTAACATTTAATATACTCTTTTGTAAAACTCTGGCTTTCAAAGCAAGAAAGAGGACATTGTAGAAGACAGGCAATGAAATGAAAGCCAGTTAAAGTTCTTACCTAGGATCTGTTGCCTTAAAGGAGCGGAGAAGAAAATAATCTGTACTTAAAAGGTAAGCTGAATCAAAACATTCACCTTCAGGAGTGCTCAACAAGAGAAATGAGTCCAAGGATAAAAAGACAAAACTGGAGAACTGAACCGACCAAAAGAAAAAGTCAGGGAAGATGCTATGGTGTGTTTACAAAGAAGCTGAATTTGAGTGGAAATGGGAGGAAAAACTCTCCTCACTTTTCAACTGTTTACTACTTTTGCAGGCTGTCAGAAGTGATTCTTTTTTCAGGTTTCATTATAAGCTGATTGCTGCAGACATTTCCTCCACCTTGGCTTGAAAACTCTTCTCTGGTTCAAAAGTATTTCCAAGTGCCACCCTGAATAAATCTTGACTTTGTTTTTCAGAGTAATGACGACCTCCAGTGGCCACTAAGTTAATTTCAGCCTTTGTGAGCAAGGCTATCCTTCTGTATCAGAACAGATATCCTCTTTAATATGAGTACATGTTAATTCTTCTCCTTCATTTCCTAAGTATGAGTGCATTAAAGAAGTGCTATAATCACTGGGCAAGGCTCAGGTTCTTGTACAACTTCTAATCAAATAGTTCCAGTTATTACTTTGAAGAACTGTAAATAAAATATACAAAAGCTCCCAAACATTTCCATGATATTGAAAGAAACCAGAAATCAGCATAAATAAAAGTATATCAAGTAAGAGCACAGGGTGGGAAAACATGCATATATACATACAAGCTGTTAACATTTCTTGCCATATTTACCAAACTCAGTTACATACACACTTTTAAAAGACGTAAAAGAAACCACTTTCCAAAGTGCTTCAGAACAAAAAAGCAACTGAGCTGTTTTCTGCTTTTAAAAGAAACTCTGTCAAAATATCACTCTTTACATGCACTTGCATTCTCTCACAGAATATTTTGTATTTTCAAAGAATACTCTGAGATAGGAAGTCTGCTGAATACTTACTGTCCCAAATATCTCTGGCAGACCCAAGACTTGCCCCATGAAAACACCAACACAGATGAAAATTGCTGTAACCTGACCCAGTGAACCACGGATTTCCTTAGGAGATATTTCACTCAAATACATGGGAAGGGCACTCAAGGAAATGCCTGCAAATGAAGGGGGAGAAAAAAAGCATGAATTGTCATACCACCTTTTCAGTATACCAAGTACAGAATGAACATCTATTGAAGGGAGTCTAACCATTTAGCAGCCATGGGAATGATTATGTCTACAGGCCAATATTTGAAGAGAAGTAGCAAAGATTTCTGAGGAGCAAGAATCACCACAAGTGGATTTTATGTTTTCTATCTGTTCACCACAAAAGAAGGAAATTCCAGTTTACACTGGTGCAGGTAAGGAAGAAAAAAACATCAGGCCCAGAGAGCAGACAGTGTCAAATGAAGCATTTTTACCATAAAAAGTGTCAGCAGATGTTCCTCTTAATACAGGCTTACTGCTGCAAAGAACTTTTAATAGCAGGCATGAAACAAGGATGAGCATGCTGCTCAAAACAAGGAGAAAACAAATGCATGACCCTGGTTATGCATACTGTCTCATACTGAAATTGCTCCAAACATTCAGCCATCTGGTGGTAATATGAGACAAGGTCAACATCAATATTACCCATAAGTTGTACACTGTAAATGAAACACACATCTACATTTAAAGAATTTAAAGAATTTAAAGTTTGTGCTTATGGACAGCATAGCCAAAGTTTGCTAGAACTGAGGTTTAGCAATACAAAAGCAAAAACGCTTTCCATTGCTTAGGTTCATGTCATTATACAGATAGGGTGAAACCATCTTAGAGTCATTGAATCATGATGAATCTAATCAATTCATCATATCTGCCTCTGCATTAGGCAAACTTTCAACCATTTAGCAACCTGTAAAGCTGCTGAGACCTTCATTGCCAGCTGCAGGACTACTCTGGCGCAGAGGTGCTTCTGAGTCACTTTTAAACTGAGAAAACAATATTGCTAGGAGCGAATGACAATGCCCAAACCTTCTTCCTACACCTACTGCTACTAGAATCAGATCCAACAGCTTCCAAACACACAGGAGAAAGAAGCTTTAATAAATAGGCTACACCCTCACAGCAAAAGGACTTTCATTGCATATGCTGTGGGAGTTGAGGAAGGAAATTGGGAAAAACAATCAAGATGGACACCAGCAGCTGGGGGCAATTACAGAGTCTTCACTGAATGCCAGATACTCCAACCCTTGCTCTACTCTTTTGTCCCAGTGAGTCTAGTCCCCAGGATGCCTCTTTAATGCAAAGAAAGATCTAACTGATGGAGGTGAGAAAGGTTATATGCAGTACAGGCATTACATTAGGTATAGCTTGATAAAAGCTTACCTGCATCAACTCCCATTATAATGCGGCCCAGTATGAGCATTTCAAATGATCCTGCCAGCTGGGAGAGTGACATCAGTATTGCAGCTGTCACTGCAAAGACGTTGTTGAGCAACAGCGTACATTTCCTATGAAGAGAAGATACTTTATGTAGGTATCAGCACCATTACAGACAGATCTTGTCACGTTCCAAGCACGTGAGGCTATTATACTTGAATAGCTATAAGGAAATCCAAAAAGGGCCTAATAAATGGTGCTTTGTACACACTGTGTAGAGTCCCAAAGCACAGTATTTTATGTAAACGTATATAGTTCCAAATCTATATCATAGCTTTAAAATAAACAATATCATGGTCAACAAGAGAGCTGTACTTCAAAGGTACACACACTAAGAACCCAAGAGCCATGCTTGGGACTCTGCATATGAGCAGAAATAAATGTGTCCTGGATTTCTACGTGTGTAGGAACCAGTGAATATACTTCCAATTACAATAAGCTAATTTAACCATAAGCATTTTTATTTGACATGTAAGTTTTGCCATTTTGAGAACTTTTAGACTTAAACCAATTAAAATGTACACAGAGGAAAATCACTAGTTGTAGTGCTAGAAAAAAACACTTGGGCTCACAGTGGTGAAAAAATATCACTCTCTTCCCAAAAGTCTAGAAGTTAACTAAATTATTGGTTTAAATCTCTCTCTCTCTCTTTTTTTTTTTCCCCAGATTTTGAGTTATTTCACTGTATAATAGCCAAACTGGAAAAAAAAAAATAAATTCAAAGCTGTTCATTATGAAAAAATATTTCCTTTATTAAATGAAAAAAAGAAAACAAAAAAGAAATACATGAAAATATATTTTAAAAATTTCCAGAAAATCCCCATTTCTCATTTATGCTATGCCAAAGGATGTATTTCTTGGAGTTTTCATTTTACTGAATCTTCTGCTCAAATTTGAGGACTCATTCATTCAGCACTGACTCATGAATCTCATAACTTCTGAAGAACAAAACACTTCATTAAAGAAATAATATGTAGCACTTCATAGTCCTCAGACAGTCAGATCTGAGCACTGACATGGAATGTCTTTTTTGGAACTTATGCAAGAAGCCTGGTTAAAGATATAAGGTCAGTAGCTCTGCTGTAACTATCTTCAGTTGAGAGATGAAGAAGAAAATCTACTCCATCTCAGATTAAAATTCCCGAAAAGAATCATATATGTGGTATACTGACCTTTCAGTATCTGAAGGGGGGTAATAAGAAAGAAGGGGACAGACTTATTAGCAGAGAAGTTTTGTTTTGATCTTGAGTTATAGTTCAATACTGAAACCTACAGTCCCATCCACAACAATTTATGAGGGAAACAACGGATTTGGCAACAAAATGAACGTGGAGAAAAACATCAGTGATTATGTTAATTATGAGAAATCCATTGACTTTGACAGTAAATTATGTAGGCTGACAATATACCAATTTTACTGAAGAACTGAAGTGGTATTACATTTTTAAGTATCTTCAAGGGATTTGCAGCCTCTAAGTATTGTGATTTCTATGTAAAATAACAGAAATTATCAGAGAAGCTATCTTCCCTTTCTTTTCAAATGTGGGTTAAAAAAAAAAGAAAAAAGTAACACAGAGTTTCACATTCATCTTGAGTTCAACACATAGGCAACAAACAGAATCATCTCCACCATTGAACCAATCACCCAATTGGTTACAATAGATTAATACACTTTTAAGAAGAAGCACTTTGAATACTTATATTTAAATTACTTTTCCAAATTTCCCAGATTTTTTTTCTTTTAAGACTGTTGGAATGTTGGTTGAATAAGATTGTTTGAAATCAAACAGTGAAAGAAAAACAATTAATTTTAAATTTGCGTTTACCTAATGCAGTTGTCAAGAGTGCTGATTTTGTTATTTTTAAATAGATATAACTTTAGAAGGTAACATAATTTGTATGATAATAAGTAATGTCAAAAATGGAAACGAGTCAAGTCAAACAAGTGCTATACATTTATCTGAAGTTATTATTTTTATATTTTTCAACAAAAAATAAAATAAATAAAAGAGCTTACACAACATGCATCCTTCTCTAAGAAGTTAGCCAATGACCACTTATTCAGAGCAACATGCTGGACATAGAAAAAAAAAGCAAGGATGGGCAAAATTAAGCTGCTATGCATAGACCCTGACTCCCTGATCACTGAAGTGACCCGTGGTGATGTCAAGGGTGAGGAGTGGATTCTGGAGAGACATCTAATCTAGGAAAGCAGGAAGAAAGGTTTTTCAATTTTTGCCTTCCTTCTTTCCCACTACTTGATCAGTAATTATTTATTTTAATCAAAAGATTAAGTTAAACTCCTCAAGTTCAGTCTGACTTGCCCATGTTCGTAACTTGAAAGTCATTTCCTTTCCTGTATATAACCTGTGTGTATTCTCACTTATGTTCCCCTGTTTGCAAGTTGGGTTGTGATGAGCAACTCAGGGGCTCTTGGCTGCCACTTGGGGCCAGCTCACCACAGCCACCAACAGAGGTAACCACTCATCATACCTCCTAGGAAAAAGAACACAGCAAATACTGTTCCGATTTAGTTCCAGTCAGGTCATGTTAGATTCAGAATTGCTATGATCATAAATTAGCTGTGCTCTCCTGGTCACATAGGGCAAAACTGTATTACCATAGAAACAAGGCACAAAAAAAAATAAAAGGAACACATCAAATACCTTGTTTATACTGTTTATATAACTCTAATATAAGCAATATAATGATACCACACTTCATAGGACACTGTACCAGACACTTTCACTTGGGAAACTCCAGCCAATCTAGTCAGATAGATGCTCACAATAATTACAAAATGTAAGTGCACAAACTTCATGCTAACTCATGATAGGAAAAGACACATACTGGTCATTGGTCAACCTAATCATACATTTCGCATCCAAAGCAACAAACTGATGAAGCAATTCTCAAATGGTACATGACACTTAGTGAAGTGTAAATAGCCCACCAAGCTCCCACACAGTACATTTCATTTCAGTCTTGCTGAAGGTTTTAGTATCCCTATTTTTGTAACTAGGTAAGCAAGCAAATAGGGAGCAAACTGAACTCAATCTAAAGCTAACTTGCAAAGCAGTGTCAGATCTAGAAAAGGGAACCTGGACTGATGTGCGCCATGCACTGCACTATCCTGACCTATAGGAATGCAGACAGTCATTGTTTGTTAAAATGACCCAAATGAGACCAAAAAAAACAAAAACCAAAAAACAGTAATTGGGGTTTTTAAATACATTTATCACATAATTCATGACAAACTGTCTCTTTGTCACATATTGCACTACAAATACTAGACAAGCGGTCATTTAAATGTAAATGTCTTTGTTCCCTTTTCTGTTCAAGTAATTCAGAACGTTTTCCAGTCCAAAGAAAGAAAACATTACAAAAGGAAGAAGCAATGAAAAAACATTTGGTTGTCTGAGCACAGAGCATTTTTTCCACCAGCAGCTATCTTCTAAGAGAAACAATATTTTTTACAACCTAGTACCAAAATTTGGTTCTCTCTTAAGATTGGATATCTGTTCTGCTGTAGAAATGTAATTTCCAATTTTATACTCATTTGGAAATATTAATAAAAGATGAGCCATGTGCTCATCAGATTACTTTAATATATATATATATATATAACTTTAATATATATATATATATATTGAAAAGATTGAGAATCTCATCAGAATGTGTTTTTTTCCAAAATTTCATCTCTCATTTGCTTTCATGATAATGGAGAAATCCAGAAGCCAGAACAAAATCCAACCAACAACATGACCTCCACTGCTGCAAAAATTAATTTTGTTGGTTTTTCTTTTAATTAGGGATTTGAATTAATAACCTTTTTGCATGAAACGCACAACTATAAAAATTATTGAATTAAAGTGTCCTCAAAAAATGTCTCAAAATTCATTAGCAATAAAGATTCTAGAAGTTCATCTTAGGGGCAGACGTGATACATTATATAAAAAGTACAGGAAGAAATCTAGGTGTTTAAATAACATTCAATGCCAGTAACAGAATGAATACTGATCACTATTCTAGTTACCAAGACAGTCTAGATAAATTATTTCAATTGCTTTGTTTGAACATAGGACTTCTCCTTAAGTGAATGAAAGCCCTTTGAAAACCTTGCTCTGAATCTCTCTTGAAATATAGCTGTGCTTAGAAATCCAGTATTCTGAAAATTATGTTATTAATCTTACAGTTTCATATGAGGCAAGAATGCTCTTTTAAAAGTCTCACATTATTTCTGACTAATGCTTTTGATCCCCTTAGTACATTATTCGATGTCAGTATAAATAGAGCACACTTTCATCATACACACAATTCTTCAACCTACACCTGGACCATTTAACAACATAAGTATTTTACTGTTGTGTCAACACTTCACAATGTGCTCTTCAATTACTGTACTGATATATCAGTCTGGCTTCCTAAAGCAGACAAATACACTGCAGTGTGAACAGCAAACTCAAGAACTACATTTTGATGAGCAGCCAATCGAATCTCTCTGAGAGATACATTTCCTCCCAATCTCCAATTAAGTATTCTTACACTGTATAGATGAGAACACTGTCTTCATGACTAAACAGGGATAAACATCATAAACACAGACAGAGCTTCCAAAGATTTAGAACTCAACCCTGGAAATACAATATGCTCTCATCAAAGAAGTATGATTATGATTGGCATAAGCCACCACCTCAACAAATTTTCACACAAACCTGTTCTACTCTTCACCAAAAAACAAGTCGTCTTTGAATTCATTTCTTACTTAATTTACTAAAGCAGAGATGATTCAGTGGCAATTCCAAAAAATTAAATAGTCTGACTCAAGGAGACATTCATATATTCAATATACGTGTTAAAAAGCAAATTGATGGATAGGCAGTAGGAATTGTAAAGAATCAGAAAAAAAAGTGACTATGAAAACAAGAACACAAAATCAAATTGAGAATTGACAGGACAAAATATGTTAATTGTATGGGAACTGCTGAGTCACGGCCTGAACCTCTGATTGATCACCTGAGCCGAGCAATGAGTCAGCCAGGGGAGCACAGGTGAAAGCAATTCACCTGTGCTGCAGGAAGGGGTGGAGCCTGACTCCACCTCTCCTAGACCCATTTAAGAGTTGACTACAAGTGGGGAAGGTTCTCTCTTCTGAAGATCCACTCCACTGGAGTTTCCTGAGTGAGCCCATGATACAGGTAAGCATCCTATCTATTCTCTTTGCCTTGCTTTGCCTAACTCTCTTGTTTATTTCATTATTATGGTATCTTAATGTTATTTGATTATACAACATTCCTCTATACAATTTTCCTTGATTATACACTATCTTAATATTCTTTGATTATGCATTAATTAAAAGCATATAATAGATTTACAAAGTAGAGTATAGTGAATTCTTAGAAGCACAAAATGGAAAAATGTGAAATTGCATTGTTTGGAGTAAAAAGAAGAAAAAAAATTAGAGGAGTTGAAAAAAATGTAGAGACAATCAAGAAAAAAAGAAAATGAAGCAGAGGATTTGAAAGCAGGGGAGTTGAGAGAGATGATATATAGGATCAGAGTGCCATGCAAAGTATGTGGTAGAAATAGTGAAAATGTAGAATATAAGTAAGAACAGTGAAGATGGAGACCTATATTTGAGCCTCTTATTTCTTTGGTGGTTCAATCAAGCAGAGATTATAAAATGATTTTTCATTATTTGTAATTTCTTATTAGAGAATTAATTAATTGAGATTTTATAATTAAGGAAAAGCCAAATTAGTAGTTAAGATGCATGTTATAGTTTTTTTTATCCAACTCCTTCCAAATATAGAGAAATTACTAATCAATTTTAGAGCTCTTTAGAAGATAGTATGTAAGAAATATCTAGCTGTTACCTACTGCAAAAATGCAAAGTACACTAGCATAAACACTTGTAAAATATTTTCTATGGTCAAGATTTAATCAAATATTTTGTTGAATAGTGGTGAATTTGTCACCAAGAAAGTGGAAGAAGAAATAAAAACTTCACTGTAGTCTGTTTCTTCAAACCCTATTTTAAGTTCACACAAGGATGGAAAAAGAAGAGCAAAGTTTTACTACTGTGTAATAACAGAAGTTGTTGAGATGTAAATGAAACATGTTTTATTTGTGTAGCTTTGAGATACACAGGAGACCTGTGGGACAAAAATCTGTCAATCTTTTCTAAAATGTTTCCTATTTTTATGTTTTTTCCTCTTGCACACTTGTTTATTCAACATTTTTGACACCTCAACATGATACCAATTCTGAGCAAATTGTTTCTATTTACTCAAATATAGCACAGTATGGTCAAATGAAAAGGTATTAATTTTACTCTTTGAAATTCACAACTCTTAGGAATGAGATCTTGTAACTTCACATTCTAGTAGAGATGAACAGGGTTTTAAAAAATAACTTACAAGTAAAGATCTCTAGATAAGCTAGGTTAGGAACTGCTTTAGAAATCAGTAGTTTTCCAATGCACTTACCGTCCAAAGAACTTCACAATCGGGGTAACAATAATAGCACCCACAAGGCCACCAATGGCAAAAATGGAAACAGTTACAGACCAGAGGAGAGTCAGGGTGCTTTCATCCACTGAGAAGCCATATCTTCGTTCCCAAGTTTCATTGTAGAACTTCTTGATATACTGAAAGAAAATACATAATTATACATAATAAAATTCCTGTTAAAGGATGCAGATCACAGAAATTGGACGAATAAACAGCAGCTTGCTTGCAGGAATCACATCCACAAACTCTCTAGGCAATCCACTCCAGCACCTCACTTCTCTCAGTGAGAAATTTTCCCCCTGACATCTAATCTTACTCTTCCTTCCTTCACTTTAAAACTATTCCCTCTTGTTCTATCACTATCTACCCATGTGAAAAGTTGATTTTCCTCCTGTTTATAACTTTTTTTTCAATACTAGGAGGGAGGTGCTCCAGCCCTCTGATCATCTTTGTGGCCCTCCTCTGGATCCTCTCCAAAAGCTCCACATCTTTCCTGTGTTGTAGGACCCAGACCTGGACACAGTACTCCAGATAGGGCCACATGAGGGCAGAGTAGAGGAGGAATGTCACCACCTTTACTGGTCACCTCTTTTCTGATGCAGTCCAAGATACCATTGGCTTTCCAGGCTACAAGTGCACACTACTGGCTCATGTTAATTTTCTCATCCCAGGACCCCTAAGTTCTTCTCAGCAGGACTATGCTTATGGAGTTCTTCTAGCAGTCTGAAAACATCTGGGATTACCTTGAACCAAGTGCAAAACCTTGCACTTTGTTTTGTTGAACCTCATTAAGTTTACATAGGCTCACTATGAAGCAATAAGTTTTCCAAGTGCACCATGGTTTCCAACTCATCCTGCTTATTTCCCATGCTGCATGTGTTGGTATAGAGGCCCTTCAGATGGGCTTTCAGAACCCACAGCCTTTGGTGTGACATCACTCATGCAGCCATTCATTCAACTGATCTGTTCTCCTCTTTCTGCCCAGATCCCTGTCTCCAACTGGGAGAACTGTGAAGAACACTACCTGTGCTCCCAATCCCTCCAAAATCTTCCCTAGGGACATAGAGTCTTTTTGGAAAAGCTGAGTAACCTGGATCTGTTCAACCTGGGGAAAAGAAGTCTGAGAGGAGATCTGAAAAATGTTATAAATTTATAAATATCTAAAGGGAGGTGGGAGGCAAATGGATGAGGCCAGGCTCTTCTTAGTGGTGTGTAGTAATAGGACATGAAGTAATGGCCTAAAACTTGAGCATAGAAAGCTCTGACATCAGAATCCCTTTTTTATGGTAAGGGAGACAGAGAATGGAACAAGTTGTGCAGGGAGATTATGAAGTCTCCTTCTATGGAAGAATTCAAGACCTGGCTGGATGCCTACCTGTGTGACCTATTGTAGGGTAACTTCTTTAGCAGGGGGGCTGGACTCGATGATCTCTTGAGGTCCCTTCCAAACTCCATGAGTCTGTGATATTTTTAAATTTCCTGGTTGCTGCCTCATGCAACTCAATTTGAAACACCAGGAGGGGATAGTGGTTGTCTGGTTTTATCATGCCAGATAATCTCTTCTTGATGTCCTGAACACAAGCCCCCAGCAGGCAGCAAACCTCTCTAGAGGTTATCCGGGAGGCAGATAGGCACCTCAGTGCCTCTCATCAAAGAGCCTCCAATTACTAAGACCCTTCCACTTTTAGTGGCACCAGACATGACTCTGATCACTGGTTGGATCTTTTCAATATCAACTGGTATTTGTGGACTGATGGAAGAGGGAGCCTGCACATCTATGGCTTATTTATGGTAACACAGAACCAGTCAGCTATACAAAATAAAGGATGTATTAAGCCAAGCAACAAAAGTTAACATTTTTCTCCCTAGAAATTCACAGCCAAGATAAATAATTGCTGGAAGAATAGGATAAGAACTTTTAGATGTTGGCTTGATACCAAGGGGGGGGGGGAAGCCACAGTAGCAAAAAAAAGAGCTAGCTAAAGTTAAGAATCACAAATTGCTTCTATAAATAAATTATAGCTTCGTACCTTCACATTTACATAGAATGTTTTTTGAATGAAGTTCAGGCAGTTAAACAAGCAATTTATTTTCAGTAATGAAAGAAGTATCAAACGTGAAATCAGACACCTAAGATGCAGAAATAAATGTCTTCCAGACAACTGAGTTCTCTTAAAGAAACAAAAACCTGAGACCTGGCTCTTCCTGTCTTCTTGTATTTTTAACAACTCATCTATCCTAAAGCTTATGCTTATCCCCCATGACAGCTTAATTCCTCCTAAGACTTCCATAAGTATTCTTCCAGAATATTTTTTGAAAGTCCGAGAGCCTCTTGATTCTGTGCAGAACTCCAGACTCCTAAGGGATCATTGCCCTTCACAAAAGCCATGTCTGATCTTCCCCAAATTCTCACTTTTGTATTACAGTTTCTGCTAGTTTGTCAAGTGCAAATATCTAATTCTTAAACTGTATCTTCCAAGTCTGTCCCTCAAAATTACTTTTTCCTTCAAGTCACATTAATTCATTCAATTTCTCTGTTATTTATGTTATCTATAAGAAATGATATGTAGCCTGTATTTTTAGGTATTTTTTACAGTCTTATGCAAGGCATTTTATCAGTTGGATAGAAAATTGACTAATTTTATTCCACATCTCTACTGATTTTTAAAATGCATCCAATACATCCTCTATAAAAAGCGTTCCGGCATGGAACCTTCAGAGACTTTTCCATTCCAAAACATAAATTCAGTTTTCTTGCTCTGTCCTTGTATTTCTGGAAAGTCATTTTTCAGCTTGATCCATCAGCCTTATATCCCCAGCTCTCTGGAAGTCTTTTCTCCCTTCTGAAAATACTCAGACCCCATGACCAGCTCACAGTTTTAGCCATCATGCCGGATGCCGGAGTTTATTTTATTTTTCTGCTTTCCTCATATGAGCACAATCGTAATTTTCTGCTAGATGGCTTTAACAACTACTCTTACTCTGATGTTCAGTTATGCCTAATTTTCTCATCTTTCTAAAACGTAAAGGCTTCATATCCCCAGTAGGACATTTTCTATATGATCTTTGTATAAGCATGAGGCATGACATGATCACTCCTGCAGAACAATTCTGCACACCTGTGTGATACAATCCCTCACAAGCTCCATGGTATCTCAAAGTCTCATCAGGCTCCTCTCAGATTTCATCAGGCATGACACAGCCACTGAAGTATCTTGGGGTAGCACTCAGAAGGATAAGCCTTCCACCAAACTCTCCCTGTTTAGGCTAGGAACTTCCAACCTTAGGTGTTCAAGCTTGGTATGCATGAGCTATTTAACCTGAGGCCTTTATATAGCTTGAAACAGAATCTCTGCACATGCCAAGTACATTAGAAAGGTGGAGGTAGAACATACAGTGTACTGTCTTCATTCTATTAAATTTCTGGCTAGATTATCATGCCCTGACTCTTAAAAGAAAGACAATCATACCTCATTATTTCCATTCTATTTTATATGTTCCCATACAAACCAAAACAAATTATTAGATGAAAAAATGTCCAATTGCACGTGGTTAACTTTGCAGCAAACTATATTTCATCAAGAATATCCAAATAAATTCACCACTAAATTGAGTAATAAATCCTATCTCTAATATCAGTACTCAGATTACATTTAGATTTTGATATCTAGTTTATTTGAGATTTATTTTTGATAGCAATGAATACTAAGAGAAAGCATTTTTAGAACACTATTAGCATTTCCTGCTAATTCTAATAACTAAAAATAGTATGTAAATTTTTTCCCCTTGTCATGACTAATTTCCTCAGCACTGTTTTCTTATTAATAATGAAACATTAGGCAAGTGTAAATATTCAAGAAAATAAAGTACAAACTACAGCATTTAAGAATAAGAGACAAACAAGCCATCATGTATATATCTTTTGCCTAGATTTCCACTGACACTAAATGGGAAAGTATTAACACATGCAGCTTTTGAGGTATTGCACATGGAGATGAAAACCAAAAGCAAAAAACAAATCTGATTCAACAAATCCATTATGCATATCCTTTACCAGTGCCCAACCATCCTCTGGTGCAGACCCTTTCCTCACCCTCCAGCTACCCCTCCCCTGACACATCTCCATGCCATTCCCTTGGCCCTATTGCTGTCACAGAGAGCAGAGCTCAGTGCTGCCCTACACTGCAAGGAGCTGTAGCTGCCATGAGGCTTCCCCTTATCTGCTCTGCTCTGAACAAACTGAGACTGCACGTCTCGCCCCCTAGAACTTTTCCCATCATGGCAGCCCTCCTTTGGATTCTATCTAGTTATTTTATGTCCTTTTTATATTGTGATGCCAAAACCTGCACACACTACTCAAGGTAAGGCTGTGCCAGCACAGAGTTAAAGCATATATAAGCATATATATACACATGCACACATATATGGTGATTTTTCTTGTCTAACCTTAAATAACTTATATCAAGGGGAGATAAGAGATGGTCTTTTGAGAAGAAAAATGAACTGGCTCACAGTTATGAGGGCTACTCACAGTTACCCAACTGGCTGACAGTCAGCTATATGTTTCTGCAGCTACCCCAGTGCCAGCTCTAAAAAGGATGCAGAAACACAGCTACCAGCAGGAAGAAGTGATTGGCAGGGGGAAAGCACACCTGCAATGGGTTATTGCTCCTTCCCATAGGAAAGTGGAGGACTGAGTAGTCAGTACAGACAACTCCGCACTGGGCAGATCTGGTGCAGTTTGTTTCCCTCTTGCAGCAAGTCAGATCAAGTAACAAACCTTATGAAATGGCTTGTGGTAAAGTTCCCAGCTAAGAACTGCAGGGGCATTTCCCTGTGGTCTGATGAGCTGGCACAACTTTCAGCACAGGAAGAAGACATACAGAAGGGTTTGCACACAGAGTTCATAGTTTCAGCCTTAAATGAACTTCCCCTGTACAATTCAGTGATTGTGATGATGTGTTCAAACCCTGTCTCCTGGAAACATCTCATACTTTTGTCAACAGTCATTATCAAGCACTTTCTAAATACCCCTGAAAGCATTATCTAGCAATTTCTCTTAAAGTTGGTCAACAGGAATTGTACTGAAGTAAATAGGAGCAAAAGATATGCAGCATCCTATGCAGAGATGCCCACTACAGTGTTGGCTGTAAGCTGCACATGACCAAATCACATTATTTGCCTTAGCAAGTTTATAAATTAAACTCAACTTACAACTTTTAGGAGTATAATGCACTCCCACTATGATCTCTTGTAAGAGCACTATATTTGCAGGTAAAAGCCTCAGTTACCTCACATCATTCCCAACTTCACCACATTTGGTGACACACAGCCACACAGGTGAAGACATATGGAGCAAAGGTTCTGATGCTGCAGGAATCACAATGTTGGTACAGCTCATTCCTCCTCACTGTGGCTATGAGCAGATCTCAGACTCTTCAGCCTGGCCAGTGCAGGATAGGGACAGGAAGGTGGCCTGTTCCAGGCAAATGGATGACACAGCTTGACCTGGGATTTACAGAGAGGACCAGGGGCCACACTAGCATTCTGCTCTTGAATCACGCAACTATGTACTCTTTTTCACTGGAGTGTATAAACAGGACTATTCCTGGGCCCTACCTATTGTATTGTTTAACACAAATAAGGAAGATACTAAGCTCTCAAATACTGCAACACCACTCTGGAAAAGGGCAGACTTCATGCATATCTGTCCACAGCATGACCAGAACCACCAACATGGTACCAACTTTCTGTCCAATAGCCACAAATAAAGACTTTGAGCAAAACCAGACAATCCTGGAAGTACTACTATCCATGATACTTGAAATTTAGCATTCTTCATGGTATAGTTGCAACCCCAGTCTGTCCAATTTCATTCTTGTCTGATCACCACCATAATCAATAACATGGTTCAAACCTAGTGATCTGAGCACTGGCAAGCAGCATTTCTGATCACCCTTTCTTTCTTTTACCCGTGCAGAAAGTGGTAGGAGAGTTTTGATTACCAGATGGTCCATTTTTCATATTGCACTTTTAAAAGTTTAGAAGTCAGACAATTCACACTTCTCCTCTGACAGCACTGACTCAGTGCAGGAAAGATGCCTATCACAGCCACAATCAATACTATTGTTCACAGAATTTCAGCTGCCTGCTGATTCTGTCTAAGCCATACTTATCTCCTGAAGATGGCAGGGTGAGGTGATGCACAGACATGCCATACTAGAATAAACATCCAATCTGTCTAAACCGGTGTTATTGGTACAAATGGTACCAGGAGCTCCAGGAAAATTCCCAGAAGCTGTCAAGGGAACAACAAAAGCTTCCTACAGGGTGAGTCAATTTCTAATCCTTCCTGTTGTCGCTTTATCAAATATAATCTGAATGCAAAATGTAAATTTCAAAATTTCTTCTTCCATTACTTGCATGAATATTGTATCCATCTTTCATGTGACTGAGCAGCTCAGGTAAAGCTTAGCCACACATTCTAATAATAGATTTCCATAAAAGAAGGAGCTGAACTTTGGAAAGGAACTTTTTAAAAACAGAGTATCAACAACTCACTGAAAAAAAATTACTAGTTACCTATTTTAAAAAAAGTGTTTCTTGCAACTCTACTGAATTGCTTAATGTGCTGCTTGATTTAATTAAGTGTCTGTAAGCCATCAGTATGAAAATACAGCATTCAGATTTCCATGTGATAGCTGATATTTTAATGAAATCCCTCAAATACTGTACACTGATTTTACAATACTCTTCTCATCAGACATTGCAACAAATTGTCAACACAGCAGTTTCAAAATCAGAACCAAAGAAATGCAGAAGTGGCCCATTATTTAAGAGCAGCAAGAGACATTTATAGTAGCAGAACTGTGGGAATGAAATGTGTCAGCCTCCAGAACTGAATGAACGAAAGTTGCTGAATATGCACCTACAGCTACCATATATTCTCTAGTCAGAAAGACAGGCTATTAAAAATGCTTTATCACTCAAAACTGTGCAAGATTTAGCATTATTCTGTGTTTTGGGAATTTTCTTGTACAAGAAACCCTGCACAACTCTTCATCTTGACAGCAGCGTTTGCTTTCCTGACCAATACTGAATTTAGTTGAAAACCTCACAGACACCAGAAACAGCTGTTCAAGCACAGAAAGGTTAACATACAAGATTTAACTTCTTCCACCACATCAGCGGGATGTTAAGGGCAGGGTGCTGGAGAGAGCACACTAGATAGACAAGGCTGCCCTCTACTGGTACTTAATTCCAGTTGTGTCAGTAACTTACCACTGCAGGTGCGTTCACCACAGAGAGATTGTATCCATAAAGAAAAGATGATCCAAAAGCACCAGTTAAAGATGCTACAATTAGACTTCCAGACCAATTCTGAAAAACAAGGAAAAGGTGTAGCCACTGTTAGTATACTTCAAATAGAAAAACTGCAGACTTTAATGCTGCTTGTACTGTCTTGCACAGCTCCTGCAGGCAGATCTTCTTCATGCAAAGCAATGGCCTGCAGCACTTCCCATTTCTGCAGACCAAGAAACACTAAATCTGAAGTGACAGCATCTCAGTTAACATTTACCAAGGCATAAGTGAACATTTAAACTTCTTTCAACCTCACAAATTCTTGCTTCAATCTCCCTATTGGCCCCCAACACACACACACAAAAAGTAAAATCTTATAGAAGCATATCTCAGTGAAAGAGACTTTGGCAATGTACACCACCACCACAGAGCATATGGTAACATACAGTTGATGCAACATGATTTGGGACAGACCTGACTTAGGGGATAGCCTAAGAAGTTGGTGTGCCCCCCACCCAGTCCCATAAGAATAAGGATTAGTGAAATTCTGAGCATTAAACAAACAAACAAACAAACTGGTGCCCACAGACTAGATACTGTAACCTAGATGTACCTCTCCAACAGTAACTTGCTGCCATACACACACATGCTCTCAGACAGAGATACCATCTGCTCTTTTCCCCCAGCATCGTACCAGTAATTCACCCTCTACAACTTTCCTCCTTCCACTCCCTACCCCTCCTCCTGCATTTAGCTGATAGCCCCAACCTCTATTACTAACTTCTTCATCCATACAAAAAGCAACATTGCTCAGATATCGGAGTATCAGTCAGTTGATTTGAAGCTTCCAGATTTCAGGGTCCTTTCCATTTCATCCAGCATTACTTTCTGACACTCAGTTCTGCTTCTGGATTTTGAAGTGCTGCACACGTGACCAGGGCCAGTCCTAATTTAATTCTCAATAGATTTCCTAAGAGAAATCTGCATTTTGGTGGCTGCTTGGCAATTGTTTTGTACATCACGGAAGATGACAGCTCACCTTCCTTAAGAAATTTCAATAAAGTGGATGACATTTTAAACATCTTTTTTTATTTTTAAAAAGTCTGCTAAGAATCTCAAATTTCAGGAGCAGTGACTACTGGTTTATGTTCAGCCTGATTGCTCATTGAAGCCTCAATGCTTTTGAAAGGAGAAAAAGCTGTGTAAGCAGGCCTTGTAACCTCAGCTTTATCTACATCACGGAGAGTAGAATCTATATTTTTCGTCAGTGTTCCAAAGCTGTACATTTCCTTTGGGAAATGAAGATCTGAAGCATCAACTACATTTGAGCAGGTAGCACATGGCATAACAGCAGTGGTGATGAATAGGAGCAAGTTCCTCCAAGACAAGTACAGTAGGGAAAGTGGCTGCAGTGTGGCTTTTGACACATGCTGGGGTTCACATTGCCACCACACAGTCACTGTCACTTGAGTTCATGGAGAAATGATGGGATATCCACTGATAAAGCAGGGGCTGCAGCACACAGCTCAGCACTCATGGGGTCTGCTGTGCTCTACAGCTGCAGGTCTGAAGGTCTCAAATGTGCCCTGTGGGACAGCCCAGTGTGGTTAACTTCTTCCACATGGCGTGGTAGCCTTTGAAGAGATTACACAGTTCATTAACTGCTCTATTTTCAGTCAGGTCAGGAGGAAGTGTACAGCAGGAGAAGAAAATCTTGCGTAAGAAATATATCCCATTGAGTTCATTAAATAAGCCAAGTACAATTTATTATTATTAGCCAGCTTCTTAAAATGAACCTGCCACACACACAGCTTTGCAGCATTACTCCAGTAATAAGCAGCAGAAATTTCAACATAAGGCTTTATTTAGGTGATAACACCTTGCCCGTTATTTCTCAGAGTTGATCAGCCATTCCTTCACTTCTAGGAGTCACTGCTACTCTGTATGAGGGACAAGTGGTGTCTCTCAGGAGTCAGTACTGGGTCCAAGGCTCTTTATTATCTTCATCAATGGCATCAACAGAGGGATTGCGTGCACTCCCAGCAAGTTTGCAGATGACATCAAGCTGTGTGGTGCAGTTGTCTTGCCCAAGGGAAGGGAGCCATTCAAAGAAACCTAGACAAGATCTAGCAGTGGGGTCCAGGAGAAGGGAAGGCTCCAGAGAGACCTGAGTGGCCTTTCAGTATCTAAAACTGGGGCTATAAGAAAGAAGGGAACAGACTCTTCAGCAGAGTCTGTTGTGACAGGGCGAGGATAAATGGTTTTAAACTAAGAGAGAGGAGATTTAGACTGGATATAAAAAACATATTTTTTAAAAGGGTAGCAAAGCACAGGAACAGGTTGCCCACAGAGGTGGTGGATGCCCCATCCCTGCAGATACTCAAGCTCAGGCTGGATGGGACTCTGAGCAACCTGATGGAGCTGAAGGCGTCCCTCAAGCCCAGGAGAGTTGGGCTTGATGGCTTTTTGGGGTCTCTTCCAACTCAAATGATTCTGTGATTCCATGAATTTAGAACACTGGGGAGATACACGGGAGTGTTCCCAAAGGGTTCATAAATGATAAGTTCTCATGTGGTAATATTGCTAAAAGATCTGCTCCAACAACATTAAATACTTGGGAAAGATCCTGCAAATGAGGTGTTTTGGACTATGAAGTCTATGCTTATTAAAAACTCCAGTGAACACCTGAAACTTTCAGTGCAAACAAATTAAATGCACACAGGGTTAAGTAGCAAATAAGGCAGTACAAATGATGGGAGTGCTGTCAAATTAGAAAAACCAACATCCACTATTTTCAAGTGCTGCAGACAGCAAGGTTTAGAGCATACTTCAGCACCATGAAGTTTTCTAATATATGACCTGCTGCAGAAGGCACACAGAGCCTCATGCAAAGCTTTACAGATCTTGGAACATGAGCTTTAATTTCTCCATGACCTGTCTCTCCTCGTGCACTACTTCAAATATTTGCTCAAGTTTCAGCAATGTCAGATAAAAGCAAAATGAAACAAGAAGGGGAAAAGAGGAAAAAAAAAAAAAAAAAAAAAAAAAAAAAAAAAAAAAAAAGCTCAAAATAATATTAAGTCTGTGGCAATATTTTAAATAAATAAGTGAATAAATGAGCAAAGCAAGCTAAGCCTCCAGCAATCTGTCTGATAGTGGCTGGGAAACAAGAAGTGGTCACACCTTCCCCAGAGGTGCTCCTTTCCTTTACCACCACCAGCGTGCTGCTGTTAGCACAGGCTGTCACCCTGCATAAAGGTGCAGTAAGGAAGTTTCATACTGGACCAAAGCAAAGACCCCTGGTCATTGGAGAGCTGCTTACTTGTAAGAGTCCATGTTTTTTGCTCTTATCACAGATCACAGAGCTCCGATAACCCTTGGAAATGTTTTTACCAACTCAACTTCTTCATTCAGCACACAGTGCAATGCTCATGTACTATGAACCTTCAGTTGCTTTTGTTTTAAACGTACACTGGTTTGCATTTCAGTTTTCCAAGCTCTATTCGAGCTTTTGCTTTTTGGTTAGTGGGTGACAGCCCCCTTTTCAGGTTAAAATCAAACACAGTTGCAAGCAGTAAACACCGCACAGGCACAGAAGGAAGTTTTAGGATCTTTCAATAGACGCTGCTAAGGCTTCTTATTGGCCATACGCACCTGATTTTCGCGCACCCGACCCTGCACACCGCTGCTGGGACGGCTCCGGGCAGACAGGTGCGCGCCCACCCGCGGCCCCCGGGCTGCTCCCTGCCCTCCCCCGCTGACCGCGGTGCAGCCCCGCTCTCCTCGCCCTGCTTGCAGGAGCTGCTCGCCCAGCAGGCTCTCTCCCACCGCGTGGTCGGCTCTGCCCCGTCCCCGCCGCCGCCCTCCGCTCCCGGCTCGGACGGCCACGGTATTTTTAGCTCAGCCCAGACGGCACCGAGCGGGGACGGCTCTGCGCTGCAACCTGAGCCCGTCCTCACTCACGGACTTACTCCGGCTCCCACGGCCGCCGTGCCCCAGCCCGCTTTTCCTCCCTTCCTACCCAGTTGAGAAAGGTCACAAATCCTCCCCTTCTCCCCCCGAGGCCGAACCCCGCAGGGGTCCGCACCCCTCCGCCGCCGTCCCCGCTCCCCTCGGGCTCCTTACGCTACTTGCGCTTCTCCCCGCGCGGCGGCCGCCCGTTTCCCGCGCCACCAGCGTATCCGCCTCGGGCGCCGCCGCAGGCTCCATGCCGCCGCCTCCGCACGTGCGCAGCGGCCGCGCATCTCCGCCGGGCAGCGCGCGGGGCGCGGCCGTGGGAGGCGGGGGAGAGCGAGGGGCAGCGCGGCCGTGCCCGAGCCCCGCTCCGCGGCCGCAGGGATTGGCCTGTGCGGAGGGAGGGATGGATGGGGTGGTCCAGAGCGCGCTGCTGAATAACTTAAGCAAATAGCCTTGAGCCCCGGGGAGGCGGAGGGTTTCCGCGCTGTTTAGGGGGCGACGGTCAGGTGCACTGCCAGAGGGAGGTAAGCGCTTCCAGCTCTTCGTTCCGCAGGTGCCTATTTGCAAACATGCATCGAAATGCTGAGAGTTAAGCTGCGCCTTCCAGTTGGCAACGCGTGAGCCTCAGACTAGTACTAAGTACGTCTGGGAACTATTCCCAGATGTCTGCAGTCCGTAGTGGTGTAAATCTGCACTCTTTCCACTGCTAACGTGCCACATGCCTCACAACTACCTCACCGTTCCCAAAGGCACAGAAGTTCAGCCATAAAGCACAGCAGGTTTGAAGGCAGACTGTAATGTAGAAACTTGGAGGTGTCATAGAATCATTAAGTCTGGAACAGACCACTGAGATCATCCAGTCCAACCACCATCCCATCCCCACCATGCCCACTATCCATGTCCCTCAGCAGTTCTTGAACACTTCCAGGGACAGTGACTCCTCCACATCCCTGAACAGCCTGCAGTGCCAATGCATCACCAATTTCTGAGAAGAAATTGTTCCCAATATCCAACCTGAGTCTTTGGCCAACCTGCATCCTCACCACACATCGAGTAAAGCAGCACTGGAACAGAAAGCCAGGTGGTCCTTATTAACATGTGAAGTCATTGTTAATGAGATGAATTGAGAAACATCCGCACAGACAGATAACCCAAACAACACTTCTAATCTTTTTGAGTGGTCACAAACTGTAAAAAAGGCAAACTAGGAGAATCAAGCCTCTAAAATGCATGGAGTGCATTTGAGATTAATCAGTATCTGTATTTTATTGAGTTTCATTTAACATAACACAGTGGGAGCAGCTCACTGCAGTTGACAGATGCCAAAAATATGGCTGTATGTGGGTAACACATACATTATTTCCCACCTTAACATGCTGACCTAATGACAAATACGCTGATAGAAGAGTTGAGGCATTCACTTACCATCTTTTTCTTCACCTCCTTATTTTGTTTCATCCCCCCATTGCTTTGTTGCTTGTTCTCCATTCTGTTACTTCGTCAGTTGATAGCTGAGAAGGAAAAGAGGGAAAATTGCAGCAGCATGCAGCAAGTGTGCCGGGTAGGCACAACAGCATCAAAAATGCAGTTAAAAATAGCCAAAAATACATAGCAACTGTGCTATGGTCATCCACCTGTAGGGCTATATTAGGATTTGTCCAAATGTTGGGTCAGAATGATTCTGAGGATTCTCTCACCTCCTTACATTAGCTGTGCCACTGTGTGAATGCTTCTGCAAATGATGGGTCTATTTATTCAGTGCCCTGTCAAGAAAATTCCTCTCTAATCATCACCACATGTGCTTCAACAGTGTTAAAAGGCATTTTAATAATCACTTATTAATAAACTAATCTGATTTCTACAGTTTCAAGTAGGGTGGCTTATCTGTTATTTGCACTGTGCTTCATGTCATGGTCTTAGGCAGATCATCAATCTGTTCAGTTTGTCCTGAATATGGGTTATGGATTCTTCTGCATCAACATCTCAAGCATATCTTTGATCTTTGAATATTAATGTATATGTAAAATGGTAATGATAGATCCTGCCTTGAATGCAAGGTGTCTGTTAGACAGGAGTTTAAAAGACAGTGAGCTATGATACACAAGGACTAACAGTCAATTTAGAGAAAGAGCAGGTTGGAGCAGAAGTTATGTTCAGATCCTCATGCATACAGGAGGTTTTCTAAGCAGAGATCCTGTCTGACAGAAGAAATACCATAGGCAGTGCTGGGGCCATTATTTCTGAATGGTTCCAAGAAATCAGGCTGAGTTTTAAGGTAAGAGGAACTAGGAAAGTGTCTGCATTGTCTAATCACTGAAGCCAGAAAAATTACTGTCTTCCTTCTTTACCTCCCAGTACAGTCAATACTGAAAACCTAGAGACAAAACTTTCCCTCTGCTGCATAGGGTTTTAGTCAGTTGCTAAATTTTTTTAAGAGAGTTTTCAAGGTGAAAACTTTTCACTATAAAAGATATACTTAATCTTACCACTGGATATTTCACCTGTTCCATGCCATGTTTAACAAGAATGCCAAAAGTAATCCACCAGTATTCCTCTCTGCAGCACCCACATGCTATTTATTTTTTCACATTTAAGGCAGATAATTAAGTTGATGATGTGTTAAATGTTACACTTCTGACAGAGCGCCAACAGACCATCATCTAACTGGAAATTAAGAGCTTACTGGATGGAGAGTATATGGGGCATAACACTGAAACAGGAACAGCATGGGCTCAGCCACAAGCTGTCGGGTAAACATCTAAAGAGAAATGTTAACCTCTCAGCTACACCACTAGCAAAGATAGATAACCCGTGTCTCCCTTTCATAGACACATATTAATATGGCTGAATTGTCTTAACCTCTTGTTCTCTGAGCAATCTTTAAAACAGCTTTATAACATTTCTGGCCAGCAATAGCTGACTATGCCCCATCTGCAGAGGTGTTCAGATCAAACTGTCCCTCCTGTATTTTAGGTACCTCTAGTTTCAGAACTTTTTATAAATACCCAGTGGCCTGTGACACACATCCAATGTGATATAGAAATTAAGAAATCTAGGCTGGAGAGGGAGTACAGATCACTGAAACTCTTTGTGGGTTTGCTAGTGTTCCTTCTGCAGTATCACTGATTTGTTTGCAGGGGAGAGATGTGAGGCTAGAGCAAGCAGAAACAAGATCTTCTGATTGCAGCTTCTCACAGCATCTATAGGAGTGACATTCTGCTTGGGAAAATGAATATGTGGAGTTTGCACTGCTGCTGCTGATTGACATTCATGGAAATGCTTTAACAGATGGGGGAAACAAGTGCATTCTCCCTGGCAGTTCATGTTGCTAGCGCAGGAGAAATTAGTTAAGATATAGATCCAGAAACATTGTCTTATTTTTTGTTGTAGAGTATGGAACAACAGGTCTCTCCTCCCCCCAGTTTGTATAGTTAGTTGAGAGGTGAGCAAAAAATCAGGATAGTGCACTTACATTAGGTCTTGCAGCTCCTTCTGTTTCAGCATTAAAAACAGAGCTGCACTTGTTTGCCTACACATCCAGCAGTTTATTTACCAAAGTATATGTTGAGTTTAATTTAAATATATTGAATCCAATTGATTTCTGTGATTTGTTAGCTTTGGATGCTGAGACCTTAGGATGTCTCAGCAGCTTGCAAAGTGAGAGCATTAGAGCAGGTCGTTTCCAACCTTGTGATTCTATGATTCTATGATTCTATAAGCTTACTCTAACCTAGGATTCAGGCACAACAGAAGCAAGCTTCAGGCAGTTCAACTGCAAGTTAGAAGTTATGGTGACAAAATTCCACTTGATGGCCATGCATCCTTCCACATCTGTCTCCTGAGCACAAAATACACAACCTCTATTAAAATATTATGTCTGAGTCAACACTGTAGTGCCACACACAGAGAAAATGTGGAAGTCAGAAAAAATAACACTAATTGACTCAGTAACTCCTGTTGTACCACGTAACAATCCTAATGTGGGAACTAGATCTTTAAGGTGCCCTCCAACCTAAGCCATTCTATGATAGACTATGTCTAATGATTGTATCTCACTTTGCAAACATCTCTTTTTGTGAGGGTGCTTCTTCCCCCTTCGTTTGTTCTCTTATTTGAAAGGTAAAATTTCCCAACTTGAGTGCTTTTGTTTCCTATGCACTCTACTGAATATAAGAGGAAGATTCAGAAGACTAATTTTTATTATTATTATTATTTATTTTAGATCTAAAACTCTTGTAAAAGAGCGTGGAGGGGAGAAGCTTAAATCTCACTCCTTCACCTACCTTGTGTGCTTTAGAGCTACTACTGCTAATTTTTCTGTGCAACTTACAGCCAAAATCCTCTATGGCTGAGCACTTGCACCTTTCAGGAAAGAAGCCATCCCTGCAAGGTAATGGACTTAAACTCAGCACTTCCCTGTGCTCCCAGCTTCACATATCTGACACTGGTGTATGACAACTACTTGTATAAGTCTGTTCCTTTTCTACTGAAAATTGCACATACATACTCATACAAAAGAAATCCACCACTGATTATCAAAAATTGAATACAGCAGGGGGTAACAAGGCTAAACGATAGGTTTTGACACCCAAATCAGGAACAATTTATGTTAGATCCTCATAACTGCCAACTGAGTAAAATATGCTCACGGAATTTCATTCATAACAAGGGTTTATTTTCTCCTCAAGTAGTGTTGCTAAGATAGATCTATTCTTATGCAACTGAGATCGTGCTTCTCGTACTGTTTGCATAAAAGGTCAAACGGTCTCAATATTAAAGTGTCATCTGGAGTCAGGCGTGGCATGACTTCAACGTGGCACAGAGCATTCCTATGGTACTGAACCATTTAGCAAGAGTTAATCTGCAGAACAGACACTGTAGACACGCCAGCTTCCAGAAATACTTGTTCTCTTAAGTAATTAATTGATACAGTATTACAAAGCTCGTATAACTCTTTCATCCCCGGTATCCGTGGCAGTCCTGAAGTGTTTACAATGTGATTATTTCTGTATCTCGGTTTCAGCATTCCAGACAAGTCATAAGATGATCCTTATTGAGAAAATAAACAATTTAAGTTCTATTTCAAATTAAGTTTAGCTTTTTAATGTATAAATTAATGGAACATTTAAAGCTACGATCTGTAGAAATCTATTACCAAGGAGAAGAAGACAGATTGTGGAGCTAATGACTGCTCATTCAGATGCTAAATAATTGTCTAACACGGGAAACCATTTGTTTAGACATTTCAAGAAATTGGTTTGTATGCAGATAAAGCTATCCGTTTGT